CCTTACACTATGTCACGGCACACTAGTGTGCCACGGCACAGTGGTTGAAAAACACTGCACTATAGAATAGATGTAGGAGCTGTCTTCCATCCTAAGCACACGGGACGACATGGAATCCCTGCTGTCCAAGGGTTAATCTGGTGGAGAGAGCAAACCTTGGCAGTGGTTTGCTCTCCAAGCTTGTTTCAGACCTTACTTTGGGGATAGGACAAGGGTCCAATTTCCGAGTTTCACTGAGATTGAGAACCCATTTCTGATAATGGATAATTAGACCTATGATTTATTTCCCAAAGTTGCTCAGTGTGAGCAATAAACTAATAAAAGCAAGACAGAATCACTATCATTTACAATATTAGCTGATATATAACTACCACTTTTATGTAATATGGAGAAACATTCTTGCTAATTTTTTATAATTGTTCACTATTCTATAAATAATATTCTCATAAAAGTAGAAAATAATTAATACTCATACAGAATGTGAAGTTGGGAATTGATCCCTGAAAAGCCAAAGTGAAGATAAACATATGAAACAGTTCATAAGCAAACTGAATAAGTGCAATTAAATTCAATATATGACAGTATGTCTGGTCTGCTGTGTATCTTATAAGGGGTGTGTGTGTATTGTATTTGAATAATAATTTCAAAACTACTTTGCACTTATCTCATCCTGAAGCCCATAGATGAAATCTGATAACGGACTTTTCTGAAAAAACTGTTTTTTTCTTGCTTTTGATATCCTGTTGACAGACAAGCCTGATCACTGATAACTAACAGTGTAATCATATCTGTACAGATGTTGATTTTATTACAAGTAGTCCTCAATTCACAACCACATAATTTTTGTTGCTAAGTGAATGTTAAGTGAATCCCGTCTGATTTTCTGACCTTTTTTTGTCAGTCCCAGCCCCACTGTTACCACCCAGGAGTGCCTCTGCACAGCCAAAAGATCATCAATGGCACCAAGCCACAGCATCCTGAGAAGCACCAACAGCTTCATTGTTTTCATGCATAACATGGTGCCCCACAAATAGAATAGAATAGAATAGAATTCTTTATTGGCCAAGTGTCATTGGACACACAAGGAATTTGTCTTTGGTGCATATATTCTCAGTATACATAAAAAGACAATTATTATTAGCCATTGATGCAAATATAAGCCATTGATGCAAATATTGGTACTATCAGCTCCTAAAATGACAGCTCTGTTTATTTTTTAGTTTCCATCTAGTGATAGAGCATTAGGATAGAAAAATCAAGTTAATTACCGTAATGAGCAGAGAATGTGTAGTATTACACAAAGGAGTTTGTGTTGTTGCTATTCTTATTATTGTCTCAGCAGGACATAAAGGTTTTAAATCTTTTAGGAATATATTTTTCTCCCTTAGGTAAATTAGTAAAAATACAAAGTATACCTAAACTGATGTGCAAAAAAAAAAAAACCTGCTTCCAAAACCAAAATCAAACTTTAATGAAATTCTCACATAGATTTCTCTCCATAGCACTTAGTACGTTCAAATCCATTTTGGAGCATCTCATAAGACCTCCCAAAGAGAGGAGATAGAGATGGAAGTATTAAAAATATGTTTTTCTGCTACAGCATGACTACTGGATCAAACCTATATATTAACATATTTCAGAGTAAAAGCAGCCTAGGTACATATACAAATAGGTTGAACATGCTTTAAAATTATTTGAAAGAAGTATTTTGGAGTTTGCATGTAGACAGCAGATCTGCTGTTCATTAAAGCAACCCATCCTTTTTTTAAAAAATAGACATGAACGTGGAAAAAATGGCTACTGCAAATAGTCATTTCAGCTCAGAACAGTCAACTGGAATTTGTAACTTAAAGTGATTATTTTGTGATCTATAGTCTGAAAACTCTGAATGTTTATGACATTCTTTAAGGTATTGGAAGAATCCCTTCTATGGTTAAAATCTAAACATATACGGCTCCTTCAAATCTTGCATCATTGGACTTGTTTTTTAGTTAATATCCTGTTAACAGTCTAATTGCTCTTCTCTGAACTGTTCTAGTTTCTCTGAATCTCTTTTAAAGTGTAATGTCCAGAATAAAACACAGAACTTAAAATAGGTCAAAGCAGAATAAATTATTATTTCCTGTGATTTGGAAATTTTATTTCTGTTGATACAGCCTATAATTCATTTATAGTACTATTTGCAACAATGGCAATTGCTGACATCGTAACTTTCCAATCTACTACCACTTTAAGATGTTTGCAGATAAAATATACAGTTTGATAAAGAAATTTATGGAATATGCATAGCTATGTTTTAATTATTCAACCAAGTAACAGATATTCTAAAATTTCTGTTTTTTATTAAGTAGATTATATCTGCATCGGTTCGTGTCTATCGCAACAAAGCTATAAACGTTGAACCAGCTTAGGGAGGAAACAAATAGAAGGAACAAGAGAAGCAATCTGTTCTTTAAACACCAATCTTTTTAAAGGAATAACTTCTATTTCCAAGACCACTTCCAGGAGGGGATGCAAGTCAGATCATGAATTGAAAGGGGAAGCGAAGCTTTCATAAGAGTTGCTTCTTCTGTAATATCCTGACTTCTCGCTGCTGTTTCAATGTATTTTTTAAAAAGGAAGGTCTTTCAACAATAAATGTCACTGCAGAAATGTCTGCATTTTCATCCTGCTGAGTGATGGCTCGGATTGACTCAAGGGATCAAAATGTGCAGATGGAAAGAACAAGATACTTTGCCACTAATACTAATACCGAGAATCCTGTGTTTACCCTCTGCACAAAGCACAGAGGTTTTTTCAGTGCAAAACTTCCCTCCGAAAAGAAAAATAAAACCACTCTTTGCTCCTCAGCAGATTGATCAGCTCGAGGTATCTCTGTGCTCATCTGTTTGCCAGGAAAGGCAAGATTGTCTATCAGTTCTACGGTATTGCAAACTCACTAACATGTCAACGTGCCCATTTCTGTAGCATTCTGCTTGTCCGAAAATATAACTGTCTGAGTCAAATTATGAAATCAAAAGACTTGGATTATGGAAGGACTTATTGGCCACTAGGCCAATAAGATCCCATAGATTAGGCCTCCTCCGAATCCCATCAGCCGGTCAATGTCGACTGGCAACTACCC